ATATGTCCATGTAAGGAACATGTATGTACATGCCCTGAAACTAAAATGAAATTAAAAATTAATTAATGAGTACAATTGCATATAACCTAAAATTTGGTGACTCACTCACACAAGCCACATTTCTGATGCCTAATAGTCATATGAACAGCACAGAGAGCTCCATCCCTGCAGAAGACTGGCTGGAGAGTGCTGCTCTAAAGGAAAGGATGGGTTGGGTCCTTCTGGATGCATGCATGCCTCAAAGGCATCAAAATGGGTGTGGTAGATGGAGCTCAACCACTTGTGAGAGTGGAGGGAACAATATGGCATCTTCCCTTTCCCTCTCCAAGGATTCCGGGGAGATTTAAATGAATTTTGCTGTTTTTGTTTTTGTTTCATTCATGAGGGTCCCTCCTACCAGAACCAGTGTGTGTGTCTCAGGAAGAGATAAGCCACACACACTGTTTGGAGTGAAGGTGATTTCAATACTTGATGAAAATCTGCACAGATCTGGAAACCCCCAAAGGTAACAGCAAATGGAAACTACCAGGGGTCTTGAAAAAAAAGTGTTCATCATTTAAAAGGTGCATGGGGGAAAAAAAGAAAACAAAACAAACCCCATTAACCAGAAACCTGGACTTCAGCACCAAACAAAAAAGAAAATAAAAAATCAGGTCCCACTACATGTTTACTGAAGGTTTGCTTTTGAGACAGATGTGGCCAAACATCAACTGGGGCAATGTGGTGGGTCACAGATGAAAATGCAACCATGCCTCCTGCCTCTTGTTCCAGGGTGAGAGCATGTTGATGTCAAGGCTCAGATGAGAACACTGTCATGTGTAGGTGTCTCCTGTGGCAGCCAGAACTCCGAGATGCCATGTTTCAGAAGAAGAGACTGCAGTGCCTGTCGCACCTCTGTGGGTGTTTCATAAGAGAGTGGAAGAGTGCAGATGGAAGCCACACCTGAGCCCGCCTCCAGCACCAGCCCCCACAGGGACTGGGGAGGACAGGACTGAATCCAGCCCCACAAACCCACTGGCCAGTACTCTGAACATGTCCCTGCAGGGTCCCGCCCTCACCAGGTGAGACTTTTGGTGTTTTCAAACAGGCCCTCTCCTCTTGCTGTAAAGGTCACGAGGCAAAGGTGGGGGGTCCCACCACCCCCAGAATTTTAAGGAACTTGTTCTGGGTGGTTTTCCTGGAAGCCTGAGACTGCTGCCCCTCTCTGACACATGCCCAGAGTGGAGATGTGAAGGAGCCCTTGTCAGGTGGACGAGCACACATGGATAGCTGTGTGTAAATATAACACACCTGAAAGAGATGCCCATGATTGGCCTATCCAGGCTCTGCATCAGAATCACCTAAGTCAGGTGTCAGAAATGCAGGTTCCCAGATCCTGCTCTGTCAGACCCAAAGACCTGGATCTTCAGGAAGAGGACACCTGGGGACCCAGACTTCTAACACCAGCTTCAGTTGGGTGGGTGCTCCCTGGGCTGGGCACTTGCCACTGGGGTGTGGCTGGCAAGAGCATTCTCTGCACATCATCTGCGAATTCATTTCATGTTCCCCACATCCCTTCCCGTCAAGAGAATGGAATGTGGGGTGGGATTATCCATGATCATTTCATAATTCAGGAGAGTGAGGCCAAGTTCCAGGTGAGTCAGTGAGGGGCCAGGAAGCTCAGTTCACTAGCTAGCCACTTTCTAGTCAGTTTAGTGCTTCTGTTCACAAGCCCATTGTTCCTGACACTGGTGCTGGCCCTGCTCATGCCTCCTGCCTCTTCTAGACCGGCTTCCCTGGAGTCGGAATGGGGGCTCACGGGGTATGAAGTGTGGAGCCCGCCTCCTCACCCCTGCACCACAGATTGAAGCCAAACCCATTGAGCCAACCCCCGAGATTCCAGTCTAGACGAAAACAAGGCTGGCAGGTCTGAGCCAGCCCCAGTCTGGAGAATTCCCCTAAAGATTCCTTTTCCATGTGGCACACGTGAGATTTAGGTTTAGTTCCCAAGAGTCCTTGGAAGTTAAAGGATGAAGCAATCCACGCCCTCCCTGGGCTGGCGAGGTCTTGTACAGAGTGGGCTGAGGGGATCTGGCCACACTCTGAGCCTTTCCTGGTCTGATAAAGTGCTTTGAGCTTCTGGGAGCAAAATCATCACCAGAAGCGCAACCGCGGAGGTGGTGTCACCATTATTTATTGAGTGCTGCCCCCTAGAGGATTAAAGTGGGCTGGCGACTTGGCGTCCCCAGGGCTCAGAACCAAGCTCACCTGGACCCAAAGGCAGGACATGAGGCCAGACTCAAGGGGACTGCGGGAAGTCTTTGGCTGTGGGGCAGAGGACTCCAGGAATTCCATTAGCCCCTCTAGGACGCTTCTGAAAAACGAAAGTCTGGAATGCTGGGAACCAGATCCAGGAACAGAACACTGAAACTGACCTTGACTTCTCTGTGCCATGCCAAGCAACCCATGGGATGGTGACCCTCAGCCGTGAGCCTCCAAGAGCTGTCATTCCTGTAGTTCCCAACAGGCTTTTTCCTCTCTGTCCCCTCTTCACCATGCCTTCCCCTAAACTGGGGTTCCAGTGTTCTCTAACACAGAATTCCCATGGTGGGGACTTGCTAGAATACTTTGGCACACTGGCGGGTGGCAGAGGAGGTGACACTCAATGGCCCTCTCCATGTAGAGACTGCCACTACCAAAAGTGGTATTTGTCCTTGGATTAGCGTCTTGGTAATGACATAAACCAGAATCTATGCTTAGGGCTCAGGATTGAAACTGTCTCTTGACTTCTTTAAATATTTGAGCCCCGGAGTCATTCTTTACAACTGGACTTTAAACAGGAAAAATGTAAATCTGGAGTTTTAAATAATGTGGATGTGCTCTCAGCCTGGAAGAAGGAGAAAGAAGGGAGGGAAGGAAAAAAGGAAGGGAGAGAGGACGCGGGGGCGAGGGAGATGAGGGAGAAAGGGAGAGGGAGAAGGGGAGAGTAGATGCAAAGAATAGATGCACACAGGCCCCAAGAAGTGAGGGGCCTCCTGCAGGCCCCTTCCAGCAGGTCTGAGATCCTCAGTGTGACACTCAGCTGGGGATTTACACAGTAAACTCCCACCACTGGCCTCAACTCTCTGCAAATCACCTCTGATTCAATTTTGTTTGGTTATCTCAGTGTAAATAACAGCTAAGTGGGAGTTACAGATTTTTTTCAAACACTTAGAATGATAAACAAAGCTAATGGCAAGTCCAGATAAGGAGGGAAACCACCCAGAAGAATCCACAAGTTCAAGCAAAGGAGAGCATGAGACAGGTGTGTTTCTTGTCGCCAAAACCTTATTTTCCCAATCTGCGAGAAATTGTATTTTCTTAATTTTCTAAGATCTTAATCTGACCTTTTTCTCTTAATGCCCTTGTTTTTCATGCACTTCTTCTGTAGCAGAAAATGTCATCTAGGTGGTTTCTGTTGGGCCTTTCAGATAGGGTGGTCATAGGTGCCTGGGGACCACAGAGCTCCCTCAGGAACAAAGATGTCAGTGTCCCCAGCCGCTCGCAGCCCCAGGAGCCGCCTCGGCCTCCATCTGGAGCAGTTGGGAACCGTCTCCTTTCTCTAGGGTAGCTTAGCGGCCGCATGTCCACGGGAAACGGGCACGGGAGTGGTGGCTGCGGCACTTTGCTGGGAAGCCTCCCTGTACCTGCCTTTTCTCGGGGCGCTCTGGGGGATCCAACTCAATAAACCGTGGAAAGTCTTTCCTCCTCCTGTGACAGTGACGGGTTCAGGGCACACGGCGACTAAGTCCTCGCCCGGGGACAAGCGGCGCGTGTTGAGGACACAACAAAGGATCGAGTAGTGCGGACAGGAGCGTCTGGGTCGCGCTGAGCCTGGCAAGGGCGAGTGTCGCCTCACGCTCTGCCGCCTGTTGGAGCGCGTGGCCGAGCTCGGCCCAGGCTCCGCGCCACTGCCTCCGACGCGCCCTGCGCGTGGCTGCGTGCCGGGCCCGCTCGGGTGGCCTGTGAGTCGCGGCACCTAAGGGGACGGGGCTACCCCCGCTTCCCGCGGAATACCCCCGCCCAGGGCAGCGCGCCCCGGAGGTTCCTGGGTGCCCTTCCCGGAGGTGACGCGCGGGCGGGGTACGCAGAGGGGCG